ACTTCAGAGGAGGCTGTAAGACCAGGAGCCCGCCTTGACTATAATATTTGGTCATGCACCAACTGGTGCTAGATGACCTATCTCTGGATCCTTCGCACGTAATTCGTTTTGCATAGTCTAGAACAGTTGAAATTCCGTGCAATCGATCCAGCTATTCTGCGGTTGCTGCCTGTCATGCATTCGATGAAGTTCATTCATAAGTCGTCCAAATGGTATGTTTTCTCACTACATGCTATTGCACGAGGCAGCACATCGAGACCTTAACTACGGCACGCAGTATTCGAGTCTATACATCACATTTTATCATCTCTTTGTTTAGACAGAACTGTATGTTAAGGGCATACCATATCATGTATCTGTTTTTATTGTGCTTATCAGTACTAGGAATTAATGTGAATCGCCTTGGTCTAGCAGTAAGGTCGGTTTCGTGGTGTTAACATACAAAGGCCAACATATCTTCGTTAGGTTGTTGAGCTTTCCGCAAAAAGTCATTCTGGTAGAGGTATGAGGACTTATTTTAGGCTACTTACTTATGCTACACAAATTCAAATTTGTAGATAGGGACGGGAACACGACAGAAGGGCAAATTTAAGAAGTTTAAAGTTAGTTTAAAGTTAGCTGGATTGTAAAATGATAGCTGAATTATTATTAAGCCTTCATGATTTTAAATGCTTACCGATACGTGTTTGCCTTCCCTCACATAAGATATATCATCGGCATAGAGAATTAGCTTCGCATTGCCTCCAAGAACCCTCTTCTCTTGTCGTAGGCGCCTAAACACAGAATGATGATTAACTTTTTGGCATGTGTTGACACCTTCGAATAGAAATTTGACGCCATAGTGAGCCAGAGCGTTCTTAGATTGGTAGAATCCTTTTGGTTTCGTTATCTTTTTCGTGAAGGCTTCAATAAGAGCAGTATAAGCATGGAATATGCGTTAATTTGCAGTGATTTTTCCAATTTGGTCATGGCTGGAGCGCATTTAACTTTTTTGTCTATAAATGGAGGACTTTTTAAGTCAAATTGTCAATAAACGTTACGGGACTGCCTAACATATTTTCCGACCAGTTAAATGAGGATGTTAGTTGGTATCCCATTATACCACAGAGATACGCAATCACAGAAGTCTTCACTGTTTATAACCACCTGTATCCGGCGTTGGTTTTCAGACAACAGGTCA